GGTATGGTGGTAGTTACAGACTTTGGTATGGTTGGTAGTGACAGACTTTGGGATGGTGGGAGTGACAGACTTAGGTATGGTGGTAGTGACAGACTTTTGTATGGCGGTAGTGACAGAATTTGGTATGGTGGTAGTGACATACTTTGGTATGGTGGCAATGACAGACTTTGGTATTGTGGTAGTGACAGACTTAGGTATGGTGGTAGTGACACACTTTGGTATGGTCGCAATGACAGACTTTGGTATTGTGGTAGTGACAGACTTAGGTATGGTGGTAGTGACATACTTTGGTATGGTCGCAATGACAGACTTTGGTATTGTGGTAGTGACAGACTTAGGTATGGTGGTAGTGACAGACTTTGGTAGGATGGTAGTGACAGACTTTGGTATGGTTGGTAGGGACAGACTTTGGGATGGTGGTAGTGACAGACTTAGGTATGGTGGTAGCGACACACTAAGGTATGGTGGTAGTGACATTCTTTGGTATGGTGGCAGTGACAGACATTGTTATAGTGGTAATGAAAGACTTTGGTCTGTGGTAGTGACAGGCTTTAGTATGGTGGTAGTGACATACTTTGGTATGGTCGCAATGACAGACTTTGGCATTGTGGTAGTGACAGACTTAGGTATGGTGGTAGTGACATACTTTGGTATGGTGGCAATGACAGACTTTGGTATTGTGGTAGTGACAGACTTAGGTATGGTGGTAGCGACACACTAAGGTATGGTGGTAGTGACATTCTTTGGTATGGTGGCAGTGACAGACATTGTTATAGTGGTAATGAAAGACTTTGGTCTGTGGTAGTGACAGGCTTTAGTATGGTGGTAGTGACATACTTTGGTATGGTGGCAATGACAGACTTTGGTATTGTGGTAGTGACAGACTTAGGTATGGTGGTAGCGACACACTAAGGTATGGTGGTAGTGACATTCTTTGGTATGGTGGCAGTGACAGACATTGTTATAGTGGTAATGAAAGACTTTGGTCTGTGGTAGTGACAGGCTTTAGTTTGGTGGTAGTGACATACTTTGGTATGGTGGTAGTGAAAGACCTAGATATGGTGGTATTGACAGACTTTAGTATGGTGGTAGTGACAGACTTTGGTATGGTGATAGTGACAGACTTTGGTATTATGGTAGTGACAGACTTTGGTATATATGGTGGTTTTGACAGACTTTGGTTTGGTGGTAGCGACAGACTTAGGTATGGTGATAGTGACAGACTTTGGTATGGTGGTAGTGACAGACTTTGGTATGACTGGAAGTGACAGACTTTGGTATGGTTGGTAGTGACAGACTTTGGGATGGTGGGAGTGACAGACTTAGGTATGGTGGTAGTGACATACTTTGGTATGGTGGCAATGACAGACTTTGGTATTGTGGTAGTGACAGACTTAGGTATGGTGGTAGTGACACACTTTGGTATGGTCGCAATGACAGACTTTGGCATTGTGGTAGTGACAGACTTAGGTATGGTGGTAGTGACACACTTTGGTATGGTCGCAATGACAGACTTTGGTATTGTGGTAGTGACAGACTTAGGTATGGTGGTAGCGACACACTAAGGTATGGTGGTAGTGACATTCTTTGGTATGGTGGCAGTGACAGACATTGTTATAGTGGTAATGAAAGACTTTGGTCTGTGGTAGTGACAGGCTTTAGTTTGGTGGTAGTGACATACTTTGGTATGGTGGTATTGAAAGACTTTGATATCGTGGTAGTGACAGACTTTGGTATGGTGATAGTGACAGACTTTGGTATTATGGTAGTGACAGACTTTGGTATGGTGGTAGTGATAGACTGTAATATGATAGTAATGACAGACTTAGCTATGGTGGCAGGGACAGACATTGGTATAGTGGTAGTGAAAAGACTTTGGTATGGTTGGTAGTGACAGACTTTGGTATTGTGGTAGTGACAGACTTAGGTATGGTGGTAGCGACACACTAAGGTATGGTGGTAGTGACATTCTTTGGTATGGTGGCAGTGACAGACATTGTTATAGTGGTAATGAAAGACTTTGGTCTGTGGTAGTGACAGGCTTTAGTATGGTGGTAGTGACATACTTTGGTATGGTCGCAATGACAGACTTTGGTATTGTGGTAGTGACAGACTTAGGTATGGTGGTAGTGACAAACCTTGGTGGTAGTGACAGACTTTGGTAGGATGGTAGTGACAGACGTTGGTATGGTTGGTAGTGACAGACTTTGGTAGTGACAGGCATTGGTATAGTGGTAGTGAAAGACTTTGGTATGGTGGTAGTGACAGACTTAGGTATGGTGGTAGTGACAGACTTTTGTATGGTGGTAGTGACAGAATTTGGTATGGTGGTAGTGACTTACTTTTGTATGGTGGTAGTGACTTACTTTGGTATGGTGGTAGTGATAATCTTAGATATGGTGGTTTTGACAGACTTTGGTTTGGTGGTAGCGACAGACTTAGGTATGGTGATAGTGACAGACTTTGGTATGGTGGTAGTGACAGACTTTGGTATAGTGATAGTGACAGACTTTCGTTTGGTGGTCGTGACAGACTTTGGTATGGTGGTAGTTATAGACTTCGGTATGGTGGTAGTGACAGACGTTGGTATGGTGGTAGTGACAGAAATTGATATGGTCTTAGAGACTGACTTTGGTATTTTGATAATGATAGACTTTGGTATGGTGGTAGTGATATACTTTGGTATGGTGGTAGTGACAGACTTTGGTATGGTGATAGTGACAGGCTTTAGTATGGTGTTAGTGATAGACTTTGATATTGTGGTAGTGACAGACTTTGGTGTGGTGGTAGTGACAGACTTTGGTATGATGGTAGTGACAGACTGTGGTATGGTGGTAGTGACAGACTTAGGTATGGTGGTAGTGACAAACCTTGGTATGATGGTAGTGACAGAATTTGGTATGGTGGTAGATACCAAAGTCTGTCACTACCATAATACCAAAGTCTGTCACTATCACCATACCTAAGTCTGTCTCTACCACCAAACCAAAGTCTGTCAATACCACCATATCTAAGTTTATCACTACCACCATACCAAAGTAAGTCACTACCACCATGCCAAAGTAAGTCACTACCACCATACCAAAGTAAGTGATAGACTTTGGTATGGTATGGTGGTAGTGACAGACTTTGGTATGGTTGGTAGTGACAGACTTTGGTATGGTGGTAGTGACAGACTTTGGTATACTGGTAGTATTAGGTCACATACTTAATTGCACTTGTGATGGTTTAAAAACAATAAGCCCCTCGGCTGTGATAGTATTATTGGTCTACGATGCGTTTAGTGTAAATTCTGTCTACGGCTGAAGCTAGCCGGGGAGATTTTAAGTAAAAGTTCTATCCTATCATATTTCTATTCTGTTTTGATGTAATGTAAGTGTTCTGTGCTTTTCTATATTCTAATAAGGGAGCAGATTGCTTCCAATATTTGACAGCCTCATATTGACTACATCGATGAAATTAATTCCTTATTTCTAAGTAATTCGTATACATGTACTATACAAACATGCATTTGTAAGGATCCAGTGTTATGTGAGAATTTTCCTTTGTTGTCACTTCATGGACTAATATGGCAATGTTATATGTACAATAAAAGATATCCAAAACAGCATCTCTATATCTGTTCGCACTCACAAATATTGTAAATGATTAACACTACACATTTAACATAATTGAATTCGGTATTACTGTGTTTTCTTATCACTTACATACTTCAAACGATGAACTCTTATGTATTCATTCAAGTAAATAAAACTCAATATAAAGATATCTGATAAAACTCATATTTATTCATTCAAGCAAGCACCATGAAATATTTATGAAATTAATAAAATTATCAATAATATCCCGTAAAACAAATGTTGTAGCAAATGATGTTGCATAACAAATAAGACAAGCAATACCTACTATACAAAGTGCTCTTACAGTATATACCGAAGCATCGATAAAATATGCGATTTTTATCACAACAATTCATCCAAAAAACTACTAGCCATCAAAATCTAGGCAAAAGTTCTTTTAAGCTCCAACATATCTAGTTCATAAAATAGTAATTACAATGTATTACGCCTACAGAATAGTTTATTTCGTTTTTAGCTCTTTTTATTTTANGTCTTACAGTATATACCGAAGCATCGATAAAATATGCGTTTTTAGCTCTTTTTATTTTATATATTTACATTTGAACTACTTTCATTACACACCGTCAGTCCGAAGTTTAATTTTAGATGAAGAGGGACGCTAACTAAAGTTAAATTTCTTAACAAATTAAACGTAAATTATAGTCAGCTACTTATATATTATATCTATGAAAACTCGATTGATTAACAGTATAATGAAAATTATGCTCAGTAATAGTAGAGTAATATTTCCTACCCAGTATATAAATAGACTATGTATACAAGGGCTATGCACGCTATATGGCTGGGAATGGTGGCAGTTTTTCAAATGTCTCATTACGTTAATTAAATATGCACAATAAGGTGGCATAGTATGTCATTTTCTATATTAATTATCTTTGCAAAAAATTCTATTCGGATTACATAACAATACTAGAAATAGTTCTTTCATACGGCTTACCTCCCTTACGACGATTACCCCGCCGCATATGATTAAGTGTCTGCTACAAGTGCAAAGCTATATTACGTATTTCACAACACCGACGATTTTCTGTCACAAGTGCATAGCTATATTACGTAATTTCACAACACCGACGATTTTCTGTCACAAGTGAATGCAGTTGTAGCTATATTACGTGTTTTCACAACACCGACGATTTTCTGTCACAAGTGAATACAGTTGTAGCTATATTACGTATTTTCACAACACCGACGATTTTCTGTAACAAGTGCATAGCTATGTTACGTATTTTCACAACACCGACGATTCTCTGTCACAATTGCATACAGTTGTAGCTATATTACGGATTTTCACAACACCGACGATTTTCTGTCACAAGTGCATAGCTATGTTACGTATTTTCACAACACCGACGATTTTCTGTCACAAGTGAATGCAGTTGTAGCTATATTACGTATTTTCACAACACCGACGATTTTCTGTCACAAGTGCATACAGTTGTAGCTTTATTACGTGTTTTCACAACACCGACGATTTTCTGTCACAAGTGCATAGCTATATTACGTTTTTTCACAACACCGACGATTTTCTGTCACAGGTGCATAGCTATGTCACGTATTTTCACAACACCGACGATTTTCTGTCACAAGTGCATACAGTTGTAGCTATATAACGTATTTTCACTAGACTGACAATTTTCTGTCACAAGTGTATAGCTTTATTACGTATTTTCACAACACCGACGATTTTCTGTCACAGGTGCATAGCTATGTCACGTATTTTCACAACACCGACGATTTTCTGTCACAAGTGCATACAGTTGTAGCTATGTTACGTATTTTCACAACACCGACAATTTTTCTGTCACAAGTGCATAGCTATATTACGTATTTTCACAACATCGGGAACATCTGTATTCGATTTTTGTTCAGGACTTAATGCCCTCGCAATAGCTAAAGACATATGAACACGGTCTATAGTATATATTAGTATATACATAATTACTGCAACGCTAAATTATAGCTACAGTAAGTCGATCAGAATAAAATCATGAACATCCGCCGGTCTTAAAGGCGACCGAGTACAAACGTTCAGGCTTCAACATTATCAAGAAAAGGCTTGATAGCGCATGTGTCCACGTGTTGGGTCTTGTCCAGCAGTTGTTGAAGGTTGAAGTGCTTCAGAGCCTTTGTAAGATCAGCCCGTACCTGTTGTATCTCCCCATCAGAGCGCTCCTCAAACAAGTTCACCACGGGAGTACTCCTGATGTGAAATGCGTAATCTGGGAAAAAGGAACCAAGGCTTGGATTGAAAGAGAAAAATTGTGGTAATTTACTTCTGGTCAAAGCGCTCTTTAGCATGAAGACCAGATAGCCGAGAGCCTCCGAGACACTTGACAACGACACGGCATTGACCTTGGTCAGACACAGCAGGCTGTGGAGCAAGACGTTCTTGATGTGGTAAGACGTAAGGACATGGTGAAGCTGTGAGCTACAATTCCGGTCTTTATCCTCGACGCGAAGACCTTTTAGGATTCGTGCAGCTCGGACAAGACGTTTGCCAGTAACATTTTCGACGCCCCATTTATCAAAAATATGCATTTCAAAATGCGAATGGGACACACGCCAAACCGTAGCGGGATCCTGAATACGGACAGTCCGAGTGACGTTTTTAGAGCTTGGAATCCACCGAGTCACCACAAACTTCCTTAATGAGGAGGAGATGGCAGATATCTCGAAGCCTGGAACGACATCGATGCTGACCATCTGCCCATTTATGATGACATCTAGTTTGATCGCCGGTGCGCTGGCCTGTCTCCTAATATTGAAGGAACTCAAGGAAGGGTCTTGGTTGAACTTCTGTACTGCTGTGTCGATCAAACCCTTGAAGAGTTTGTCATGGAAAACCTGTGAGCTGACATACCTCTCACCATCTCTCCCTACAAACAACTCTACCGGTCGGATGGCCACTTTATTACTTATTTTCTTGATACATATTTCTGCTAAACCCGGAGGCAGATTGTTCTCGGGAGTCTCTATCACCTTCGCAGTGATGCCGTCGAAGGTAAAAGGCAGCAATGCATCAAACTCGTTAGCTGCCCCGACCTTCAGACCTTCCCTGGAGCCACCTTGTTTAAGAAATGGCTTTAGTCTCAGAAAGGGATGCGTCGATTCAGCACGCTTAAGCTCTGTGTATAAACTCTTCAGCAGCTGATCAATTTGCACTTGTACACCTTGGAAACTTGCACCCCTAATGTTGACGTTGTCATCGTAAAATCGCTTCAACTCCTTGTCCTCTGGTCCACACCAAACAGAATCATCGTTAGAGGGAGGTAACCAACAGTTGGGAGCGCTCACACCATGCGCATACCAAGCGTCGCCATTTCCACTAAAACGTAAAAAGCTTTAGCATGAATATACAGTTACCATGACTAGTAAAGAATATGCATTATCATCTAGCTAGTGTCCTCCCAGAAGCAAGTACGTTGAAGCTTTGACCTCAAATTCAATAGCAGTCCATTATTCCAAATGATGATTAATTAACAGATATCAGTGTTGCAAACGCATCATATTTTTCGAGCAAGGAAATGTTTGTGTTTGTATTACATATTTATAAGAATACTGTCATGCAAATAATCACCATATATTAATAAGCTCACCTGGTCCAAAGGACCAAGGTGTGCTTATGCCATACCGTGGCGTCCGTCGTCCATCCGTCCGTCCGTCCGTCGTCCGTCCGTCAACAATTTCTTTAAACGACTTCTTCTTCTTAACCACTGATTGGAATTTAACTTAATTTGACTGGAAACATCCCTAGGTGGTGGGGATTCAAAATTGTACAAATGGTGGGGCTGAGGGGCGGTGCAAAAAGGGGGCAATTTGGCTAAACTGCTTTAAGCGACTTCTTCTCTGGAACTAAGTGATGGATATCAACCATATTAGACTGGAAGCATCCCTAGGTGGCGGAGATTCAAAATTGTACAAATGGTTGGGCTGACCCCCAAGGGGGCTGAGGGGCGGGGCCAAAAAGGGGTAATTTGGCTATATTACTACAAACGACTTCTTCTGTAGAACTATGCATTGGATATCAATCATATTAAATCAAAAGTATTCATGGGATGCAGGGATTCAAAATTGTACAAATGGTGGGGCTGACCTCCCAGGGGCTATATTGCTTTAAGCGACTTCTTCTCTGGAACTAAGTGATGGATATCAACCATATTAGACTGGAAGCATCCCTAGGTGGTGGGGATTCAAAATTGTACAAATGGTGGGGCTGACCCCCAGAGGGCTTAGGGCGGGGCCAAAAGGGGGCAATTTGGCTAGATTGCTATAAACGACTTCTTCTGTAGAACTATGCATTGGATATCGATNAGATCCCCACCCCAAAACTATATATACAAATGCTGGGCATAAAGAGACGAATGCAGTCACAATATCAGAATAGACCCTCGGTCTGACCGAAACCCTAGGGACCTAGTTTCTTAGTCACAGCTTGGAAACAGTTGAGATCCCCGACCTATAACCATATAGACATTTGCTGAGTATAAAGAGATGAATGCACATATGCTTCCAGGATGGCCTTGGGGACTGCCCCAACCTTGGAGACTTAACCCCTGGGTCATAACTTTGAAACGGTTGAGATCCCCACCCCAAAACTATATACACAACCGTAGGGACCAAGTTTCTGAGTCACAGATTGGAAACAGTTGAGATCCCCACCCCATAACCATACATAAAATTGCTGGGCATGAAAAATCGAATACAGATATATATGCTACAAGGATTGGCCTTGGGGTCTAGCATATTCCCATGGATCTCATTTGGAGAATATTCTGCCATGATTGCTTAGATATCCAGGTGAGCGATACAGGCCCAATGGGCCTCTTGTTTAATACGCAATACAAGGTTAAGTTTTTATGTACTCAACAATCCTGGACAAAGAACTTATATAAATACGATAACTGGTCCCAGTTGTTATGTACACACGATACCAGGTCCCTGTTAGTATTTACGCACGATACCAGGTCCCAGGTAGTATTTACACACGATATCAGGTCCCAGTTAGTATTAACGCACGATACCAGGTCCCTGTTAGTATTTACGCACGATACCAGGTCCCTGTTAGTATTTACGCACGATACCAGGTCCCTGTTAGTATTTACGCACGATACCAGCTCCCAGGTAGTATTTACACACGATACCAGGTCCCAGTTAGTATTTACACACGATACCAAGTCCCAAGTAGTATTTACACACGATACCAGGTCCCAGTTAGTATTTACGCACGATACCAGGTCCCAGTTAGTACTTACACACGATACCAGGTCCCAGTTAATATTTACGCACGATACCAGGTCCCAGTTAGTATTTACGCACGATACCAGGTCTCAGTTAGTATTTACACACGATACCAGGTCCCAGGTAGTATTTACACACGATATCAGGTCCCAGTTAGTATTTACGCACGATACCAGGTCCCAGTTAGTATTTACACACGATACCAGGTCCCAGTTAGTATTTATACACGATACCAGGTCCTAGTATTTACACACGATACCAGGTCCCAGGTAGTATTTACACACGATACCAGGTCCCAGGTAGTATTTACGCACGATACCAGGTCCCAGTTAGTATTTACACACTATATCTGGTCCCAGTTACTATGTACACACGATGCCTGGTCCCAGTTGTTATGTACACACGATACCAGGTCCCAGTTATTATGATCACACTATACCTGGTCCCAGTTGTTATATTTAAACGATACCTGGTCCCAGTTGTTATGTACAAACGATATCACTCTGGTCCCAGTTGTAATGTACACACGATATCAATCTGGTCCCAGTTATTATGATCACACTATATCTGGTCCCAGTTGTTATGTACACAGGACATTTGGTCCCAGTTGGTATGCACACACGATACCTGGTCCCAGTGGTTTATATATATGATCACACTATATTTGGTCCCAGTTATTATGTACACACGATATCTGGTCCCAGTTGTTATGTACACCTGGTCCCGGATGTTTATAAACACGATATCTTGTCCACTCGAAATTAACTAGTTTCTATTTGATATTGCGTATTATTCGACACATCGTTGTAGTCTGCAGATGAACGTTACTTCTACGTATGTACGTAAGTTTTAAGTGACAAATATGTGCATTTTGTTGTGTATATTAAAACGCTTTCATTCATTGAAATGAACTACTAGGCTAGCTACCACGTGTACAGTCGTTCATGGTTAGCGTCATTTACGGTGCCTCTGAAGTGATATGTACAACGCTACTTCTGTAATAGTATTAGATATAAAAAGCACAGAATTATACTAATAAGTAATAAAAGCTTAAAAGAACACATAGGTGGCTGAATATCCCGCCATACACAGTATTATTATTCTTTCCATACAATAACAAGTTCTTCACACTGACAACATACTAGCAATTTCAGTTTTTAGTATATATCCGCATGTTTAGCGAGGTTGTCGTTACGCTAGATCTATTTTGTATTAGTCTATTGTTAGCTTTTTAACCCTGACGTCTAATATGTATGCACTGCAAAAATTGCACGACTTCTGTGACGGGAAATCTATACCGTTTTACTCGGATGGGGATTTTCCTTAAATGAAGGGATCCTAACACTAAACAAATAATGCAGTCAGAAATTCCAACTCTGAACGGTACCGGTGCACACGCCATGCACGTGCACACTTCTGTCTACATTATGTGTAGACCGGTTAGGTGTAGCAGACGCATAAATGCATACATCATCGTTACTCCAGGCGCAACATGGTCCCTGTATCTATGACATTATTTGGTGTTTTCTTGAAATGCAGTCTGGTTTCGATGGGATTGCCAGTAACCTGGCTTGTCAAAGTTACTCCTACAATCAACTGTACAATTAATTTACCACGTGTCTCTACGATAAGGACCTTAAATGCCTGTCTCCTCCAACCCAATAACTTGACTCACCTGTCCGCCATCGCTGCTCAGCTTTGTTCAATGGATGCTCTCCACGTTGTGCATCAGGTGATATGCATTAGGTGATAACGAAACCAAAAGTAGATCGTCTACCTCCTTCTGGGAAACCGAAATCTCTTTCTGGAAAAACGAATCCACCTGTTACTGGTTAGCCTGCTTCAAAGCTCCAACGCTCCTTTCTTCATGTAAAAAAAACTGTTAGGCCAGTGTACATTGAAATAAAAACACAAAGATCAGCACACCCGAAGGCAGTGAGTCAGTACGACACGAGACTGATTCAGAGTTTCGTCATCTTCAAATATATTTGTGGTCCTGCTTCTTATTAAGAGCTGAATAAAAAAAATCTTTCTGTATGTTAGTTTCACTCAACATCATTTGTGACGTCAAAATTCTTTGGAATGACGTCACAGAGCGAAAGACAAGGTCATAGGGTAAAGTGGCAGTGAGTCGGACACGATATAAAGTCGGACACTTTCTTTGTTGTTTTATGTGGTTTTCTATCCTTACAATCCGGTCTTTTCCTGTAGCTATGCTAACAAGCTTCTTATGAACATATAATTAACTTTCTTTGGTTACTAATACCCTTCCTGTCTTTTTCAATACGGTCCCAGAGAAGTCCAGACAGCGGGAATTTTGAGCTAACCCAAATAAGAATTGTTCAATTAATGATACGGCTGGGATTTGATAAAGCTCTTGCATGATGAGAAAAGAATATACTGAAAAGAAAGTTATTTTCTAGACATTTTAAAGCATTTTCTAACTGGTGTTTTGTTTTTCAAGTTTAAACAAAAGTACCCAATTCGATATTGAATCGGACACAAAAATATGTGTGTATATGTGTGATATTAAGTCGACCCCTGTCCGACTCAACATCATGTTTCATTTATATTGTCTAATTGACTTCAAATAGATCGTTTGTTGTAGTTAGACTGGTGTTTTAAACAGATTTAGACAAAACGATCCTCTATTTCAAACATGGAAGTATTACGATAACAAAGTATATAACGCTTCTGCATCAATTTCTGTGCCTTATATGCCCATCTTTTCCTCGCCGCCACCATTTCCAGCTATGATGCCCATCTCTTCCTCGCTGACACCACTTCCAGCTATGATGCCCATCTCTTCCTCGCCGCCACCACTTCCAGCTATGATGCCCATCTCTTCCTCGCTGCCACCACTTCCAGCTATGATGCCCATCTCTTCCTCGCTGCCACCACTTCCAGCTATGATGCCCATCTCTTCCTCGCTGCCACCACTTCCAGCTTCGTTGCCCATCTTTTCCTCGCTGCCACCACTTCCAGCTTCGTTGCCCATCTTTTCCTCGCTGCCACCACTTCCAGCTTCGTTGCCCATCTCTTCCTTGCTGTCCACGCTGTCCAAATCATTGTCTGTTTCTCCAAAACTTCCTATCCCGCCAGTACAACAAGCTCTGTCGTCATCAGCCTCTTCAGTTGGCAATACACTGTTTCCGTTACCCAAATTAACAAAGAAAAGACCAGCACAGGAATATTTTGTAATAACGGCAGATGATATATTTGACCAACGGAAGAAAGCGTCTGAATTAAAAATTATACAGGAACTAATTAAGAAGGAATAACGTTTAGAATGTGAAAAGAAAAGAGCAGCAAAAGCACTTGCCGTTACCAATAAGGGAAGTGGACGTGGATGTGGTCGTGGTCGTTGACGTGGACGCGGGAAAGGTCCGACAAAATGACCTGATATGAACTCTAAACAGAGAATAAATACATAATGGTTTCCGTTAATTTGTAATTGAAACTTTTGCTTTGTTTAACGTGTATATAGATCTGTATTGTGTAAAATGTGTTCATTGATCAGACATTATTATTTCGCAGCTTTATTACCAATAATGTACGCACTACAATAAAACGTGTTTTGTTTTGCGCATATTTCACCTTAGTGATAATGTAGTATACAGTTATAGAATGGGTATGAGGGAAATAGCACATTTATGGTGAAAATTGCCACCGATGAAGGCCGTTTTGTTGTTGTAAAGAGGAGTTACAGCAGATTTTGGACGCTAAACGTAGCTTAAATACAAAAGCTGTTATAAAGACTGCAGTGAATCCAGAACGGAATGCTGGAGGCGTCGACGAGTAGGGTCATGCAAGCTCTTTTAAAAAAAGTAGATAGGACTAGATCTAGATATGGTAGGGAAACAAATGATGACTATGAGATTCAGTCTATAAAAACACTTCTTGAATGCTAGAAAAATAAAGATATCATCAACGACGATGCATACAGTACTTCCAATTGTAATTTTTCTCTTTCAGTCTTTGAAATTGTAAAAGGAAATGAATACATAAATTCATTTGTACAATTGCCTTTACTGGGTGAATAATTTGTTTGGTTATAATAAAACAGTTATAGAATGGGTAATTCGGGAAAAAGCAAATTTATGGTCACCCTTGGTGAAAAACTATTGCCCTCGACGGCTTCGCCTCCTCGGGAAATAGTTTTTCACCTCGGGGTATCATACATATGCTATTTCCCTCATACCCATTCTATAACTGTATAATACACCATGTCAGTTTCTACTCCGACAGTCCCTATCCTCTTCCAGGTTCGTTGTAATTCTCTATCTTGGCGAGTATAATATTGGATCTAGTAAAATGGAAAACTAAACGAATTATATAAAGCTCGCCAACATTAATAGACTACTCATTTACACAAAAATTAAATAACAATGTTGGTAAGATGAAGACAACTCCGAAACAGTAACGTAAATCATACCTTTTAATGGTAGAGGGTGGTTCCAATAGCACAAGCTACAGTAACTACGGTGAAATAGGTCTTGACAAGTGATTGCACTCAAGATTTTGTAATAAATAATAATTTCTGCGAAAATGAAGTCAAGATGCCTGTACAACAAAAGAAAGTTAAGTAAAACAATGGAAAGAGCCGTGAAATACATTTAAAAAGTCAATAATTTGAACGAGAACATTCTTGCTTTTGGTCATCTGGAGACTGTCCGATTCTATATCACAAGGTAAATCAGGTGTCCGACTCAATATAGAAAGCGTCCGACTCACTATCAAATTGCCATTTTGCGATTCGTTTCGTTTTGTCTTACGCTATATGATGGAAGGAGAAGAGTTCCGAGAAGCATTTGAAAGAGAAAAACGTAGACTATCGGACGATATCCATTGCATTACGGTAGGTTATATAGAACGAAAGCAATTTGAGTTTTAACAGAGGAGGTGTCCGACTCACTGTCACTTTACCCTAAATGTGATGAGCTTCGACTTTTAGTAACAATGTAATACACAGTTCATCCACCGTCGTCTAGATACAAACTTTGATTCAGGCCATATAGGCCCTACACTAAAATATGGTTTCTATCGGTTTACTGCCAGATGGGCCATATATGTCATGTTTTAAAAATTGGAAAGTGTGCAATCGAATAAACGATTTATGTTACATATTAAATAACATTTCTTGTTTTTTGAACAATCAGTCTGTTTTAAAATTGGGTAAATGTAATATGTTTTAATTCATGTTGTAATCTTCGACATGGCCGAATACCAAAGACAAATCTAATTTTAAAGGTTAACGTGCTCCGCTGTTTTTTTACCAACAGCAAATTACAACCGTAAAAACACCCGCTGTTTAGTGTGTTTACAGCAGCGTGTCAAAACTTGGGTTAAATAAACCTGAAACTATTTCAGTTCAGTTAAATTCTTTACATGTACTACCTTAAGCCTTACGGTTCAAAAAAGATCTCACACACACGCCCACACAAATAATTAGCAACGAGACCCTCCTCGTTACCTTCAAACATCTTATTGCTCAATTCAATACATTTTGCTAAATATTGTTCCCCGTTATCATAGCTTGAACAAATGAACATGCTAGGAACAGAGACTTACATATCAATATTAATATTAATATATATATAATATATTTAATATACTGTAATATATACGTCTCTGCTAGGAATGTTAAAGTAATGTTTCTTAATTAAATACATCTTCGCTGTCACCACTGATGCGGCATGCACATGTCCTTTCCATCCTTATAAATTACTAACCAACCAATTAAAATTTTCAATTTATACAGATGTGTGTAGCTGGACTGTAAACGATGCGCATGCAAAGTTATCATCAATAGAAAATAGCTATCCTGGAGGGAGGGTCCGGCCCCTTCCATCCCCATCCCGAAAAATAACGAAACATACATGTAAGCTCTGTGATGCTATCCGATGTTTTTTAAGAACAATATTTGGGCGTTTAATTCGTTCAATATTTAGGTCAAACCAGCATGTTGATGTTTCATCAAATAATTCAATCATAAACTTGCTATATCGGTATCCAGTACCGTAGATTTTTAGCCGAATACCACAGTAATACCGATCGTGTTCTTATACGAAAATCTATGGTTTATGATAGTGAACGTAAATAGCTGAACACATTTTTTTACCAAATTAAATACGAATTAAATCACACATATTTTTTATGAGGATTTGTCTACATGGCAGCTACCCGCATTCTCGATTGCTTTCCTTCCCAACAGACATCATGTACATGTTTTTCCCATCGTTTCTGGGGATTGTCTTTCCTGTTATTGTCATTTTCTATTAATTTGACTTACAATTTTGTCCACGTGTGTTGATGATGTGGTATAGATTTTTGTTATTTTATTTCAACTTTCTGTAAGTAGTCCTCAACACACCAACATCAATCAGTTTCACGCCTACATATAAATCGCCCTTAACGTCTGATGTAAAAACATTTACCTCTCTATAGACAGTCAAAATTGCGCAATAATTCTCAACATGGTGACATGTATCCAAAGTGCTCAACAGGACAACGGCAGAAGTACTCTGTATCCACCTCACAAAACCTCTATAGGTTCCAAGTTTAATAAAAAATGTCGAAAACAATCCTGTAAAACTGCTTTATTTGAGTAACGAACACAATTTAATACACTCCCTTTAAACAACATACTCAAGTCAAATACATTATAACACAGGTATCTTAACATTCTTTCTTTTGTTTATTTTCACCTTTGAGGTCTTTACTTGAAATAACCCATTCATCATCACCAAAGTATAAACGAATCTAAACTTCTGTAGCTTTTGTGAGCCATATTTGTTTTTCTGTTCCTTAATCTGTTTTACTTTTTTAAATAGAATTTATATAGATTGGGAACTAAACTGGACTGTGAAATAAATATAATTCCAGTTATTTAATTGAAAAGAGATTACACACTTTTCAAAAAGTAAAATGACTAGTTTATATATTTATATTTAAAATGACACAAATGTTTTTGTTACTAACATCTAACTTTCAAAAAAAAAAAATGTCTATAAGACATATGCCCCCGCTGCCATGTGAAATTAGTTTCAGTGTTCTATAAAAAGTTACAACCACTTTGATCTTGATACCCTGAAACATGCACACACACAAAGTACTACACTTAAAGTTGATTTTAATATTCATGTTTTTTCTGTATGTTATTACCATCTCCATAACATATTGAATGAAGTTGCTAAGTGTTTAAATTGAATCAATAAATGATTTTCTATATACAGCAACAGTGACCTTGGCCTTGACCTTGGAACCCTGAAACACAACAATGTCCGAAGTATACTCATACTTGACCTTGGCATAAAGTTTGACCAAAATCCATGAAAGAATGAAGTTGCTAAGTGTTTAAATTGAATCAGTTGATGATTTTCTATATATAGCAAGTGTGACCTTGGCCTTGACCTTGGATCCCTGAAATACAACGATGTCCAAAGTATACTCATACTTGACATGTGTATAAAGTTTGACCAAAATCTGTCAAAGAATGAAGTTGCTACTGTAAGTGTTTACATTGAATCAGGACGGGACGCGATAAGATGGACATGGGTAACACTATATGCCCCCCCCCCCCCCAT